GACCAGCCGACCGGTCGGCGGGTCGGCAGCCGACCAGTCAGGGGTCGCCGACGGTCGGCATGTGCAACACTGGTAGTCGAGCAAAAACTCATACAGTGATTAGGCCGTTGAAAGTAGAATCTGCATCTGGATCTGCATCTGCATCTGCATCTGGATTGTGTTTGGTTTTGCAAACGTCGGAGATTCTGGACATAAACATGCAGTTGTGTAGAGATCTTTCTGCCTCCATTCAGGTGGACTTGTGACTCTGTGGGTTTTACTTAGCAGCCTTTCAACTTCACAGGAAGTCCATCGATGCTTGCTCTGTGTTGGCATCCACAGTGTGAAAGCAAGTTGTTTCATGTGGGTGTGTGCAGGCAGCGACTCCCTCCGATGGCATGCGCTTGGATAGATGCTTCACTGCACTGCTCTCGGCCCCTGCCCATCATCCTACTGTACCTCTGAAATGTGCATAGAATCCATCGATACATATTCTTAATAATACTCCATTGTACACTGCTGGTCAGTGAGTGGATGATGGTTGGGTCACCCTACTCTTACAGTGAGAGATGTTGTGGGGAGTAGGGGATGCATTGAGCCTTGCATTGACTATGGAATTGATGTTGCAGGCACTGTGGCGACTAGGAGGGCCAGGGAGCACAGCGAACGTGTTGCACTCAGTTTGGTTGAACTTTCAGACGAGCAGAGGAAACGTGAGTATAGCACCGAACACGACCCCCTTCCTTCTTTTATGAATGTGTTTCGGATTTGCATTCACATAGCAAGTCATGGCTGAGTCTTGCCTGTTGCAGCAGATGCTGTCTGAATCTAACATTATTATTAGCCAAATGACGTCCAGGCCGACCACTCTCGTTATCTGCAGCATCTCAAGATTGGAGGTGGTACATGGCCTCGCATCCCTCTTGTTTTCTAAACATCATCCGTTTACCGAGTAGGATCTGTAGATTTGTGGTAGTTACTGGGGTGAAAGGAGGAGGAGAGGTTGATTATCAGAAGAAGCTGAAATAAAACAAATGCTTGTGAAAGAAAGTGGGGATAGCAGGAAGTGAATGTGAGGGGAGAGCTCGGAGGTTGATTGGGAGTAAGACCAGGAATGGGAGGCAGGACCACAGAGAGGATAGGCATGGCTAGACCCCTATAGGGCGAGAATGGTACATGTAGGGAGGAGGAGGAGATTAACTAATGATGCTTGTTGGGTGTTTTGGACTCCTTTGACTGAGTGGTTACGACCAAGCTTGGGATTTGCGGCCTGAGAGGCTGCTACGAGGGTCTCCCCCCCGCCTTGCCCTCTCTAAGGCCCTTCTGCTGCGTGACTGGGTGCTTCCAGTAAGCTTCTCGGCTAGCAGAAGTCCCCTAGAGGCTCGAAGAGCTATCGTTCCCCCAGCGCCTTCGTGGGAGCCTTCGTGGGATCCTGGATTAGGCGCTAGCTTCGCGCCTTCGTGGGATCCTTCGTGGGATCCTGGATTAGGCGCTAGCTTCGCGCCTTCGTGGGATCMTTCGTGGGATCCTGGATTAGGCGCTAGCATCTTATAGGCAGCAATCCATAGATTAATGTCTTTCAGGAAGGCTACTGTCTGGGGGGGTGGTTGGCTCGTAGCAGCCCCCCCCTTGAGCAGGTGACTCGTACTGCAAGGGCTGGACTGATCCTTCTTTACTTCTCTTCCCTCGCTCTTTTTTTGTACTGATGCTTGCCGGTAATAATCAACCAGACTGACACCCCCCAGAATAGAAGGGACCTGTGTGTTGTTTGAAAAAAAAAAAAAAAAGTGGGGATAGGAACAACAGCATAAGAAGATGGAGCGAGTGTAGGAAGGAGGAGGCGGCGGAGGAGGCAGAGGAGGCGGAGGAGGCTGAGAAAGAGGAGGGTCATGAGGAGAAGCATGAGGGGGGAGATGGGGAGGAAGAGGGAGAGGAGGAGGAGGAGAGGAAGGAGGGACACGGAGGATGGGAAAGAAGGAGTAAAGGGAGTGGGAGAAGGAGGCAAACAATGAAAAAACGACAAAAAAAACGGAGGAAGCGTAGGAGGGAGGGAAGGATGGAGGAAGGCAACAGAGTGAGGAAGGGCCGAAGGAGGAGAAGGGAGCAAGGAACGGAGGTAAGGAAGGGAGGGAGGGAGGGAGAGAGGGAGGGAGGCAAAGAGGGAAGGAGAAAGGAGGGAGGAGAGGGGGGAGGGAGTAATCGAAGGAGGAAGGGAGCTATGTCGCTTGGAGATTGATTGGTGGAGAGGATCCAGAAAGAACACTAGAATGCGGATAGAACCAGTCTTGGCTATTCTTTGAACCAGGGGATAGATAATGTCATTGACCTATATCCGCTATAGCTCGTCAATAGATAATGTCATTGACCTATAGCCGCTATAGCGCGTCAATAGATAATGTCATTGACCTATAGCCGCTATAGCGCATCAATAGATAATGTCATTGACCTATAGCCGCTATAGCGCGTCAATAGATAATGCCATTGACCTATAGCCGCTATAGCGCATCAATAGATAATGTGATTGACCAGCGGCATGATCACTTTGGCACGAGGTGGGTGGTCTGTCTTCTTAGAATCGTATGACATTCTGGTTGTTTACAACCTGTAGAGTGCACTTTGGGCAACAAAGGTTTTGAATGTAGCAAATCCCCCTTCTCTCTCCACCTTCCTCCTCCTCCTGCACTTCGCCAATCTTATTCTTCTTCCAATAATAATAATAACAATGAGTGGATTAACCAGAATCAATGTCCGAAGTTCCCTCTTACTGCTGACATCACCATAGGTCCACCATAGCTATGGCTTTCCCCCTCCTTCCACCTCTCACATGCCTAGGCTATGGCGGACTACTGAGGGCTCTGCCCTCCTGTCCAAAGGACAACCCAAAGCAGCTATGCCGCTGCTGACTATGCCGCCATGCCTGACTCTGCCTCGAGCTTCCTTGGTGCGGCACTACCCCAACTGGGGCCTTCCAGATGCAGCGCCCAAGAAGGTGATGAAGATGGTGTCCACCATAGCCAGGTAGGTACCTTGCCACTCTCCTCCTTCGCCCCCTTCTTCCTCCTCCTCAGGCTGGGATGCTCGCCATAGCTAGTCTGAGCGCCCAGCTGCTCGTCACCTCCAGGCAGCGCTGCCCAAGTCCAGCGCTTGGCTCCAGCAGCATGTCGCCAATCCTTGCATACCGCAAATGAGGAGGAGCTGCTTGCTCCTCCGGAAGATATAGCGGCCTACTGGCCTCTTGGGCGGTGACTTCCTACGCCGAGCGGCCTCCCAGCAACTGGTACCTCCTCCCTTTCGGAGGGAAACATCATTGCAGGCTCTGCTATCGTCCAGACAGGCCCTAGACTCAGGCTACTTGGACTGGTACCGGACTACCTCTATCCTACCGCTACTGGGCCTCTAAAAATGCCAACTTTTTGTCTTCTTCTGCTCGGCCTCCAGTACCCGACACTTCTACCACTACTTGAGTGGTACCGGCCTACCTGCTACCTTGAGTGTTTTTCCCCGCTGCTCTAAGTGTCGCGGGCCTACCCCCGCTACTTGAGTGTTTTCCCCGCTGCAACCCTCAAAGTCACGGCCACAGGTAAGTACTGGCCCTGCGGGGCCTTTCAACCAACAAGTACCCTTGCGGGTCACACACACACTCAGCCGACAAGCACTCAGACAGGCACGCAAACCAGCAGGCACGCACACACACACAGACTTGGAAACCACAGCCGAATGCGGGAATCTCAGCAAGGCATTCATTCCAGCGGCAAATCCCAGAAATCAGCAGTGTTCTCAGTCTGTGTTTTGGCGGGTCGTTACATCTTTTTCTTTTTTTTCGTTGTGCAGGGGACATGCTAATCTTCTCTGTATCATTCCAGTTTTAACGGATGTATCTAAGGACAGTTGCAGCTCATTCTTTTTTTTTTTCTTTTTTCTTCGAAAAACAGGACCTTATGGCCCCCGCTCCGTGTCCATTCTGGGGAAGTTGCAGCTCATTCTGATGCACCAGATTACAGAAATATTGTCACGTGTTTCTTTGCAAGAACCTCAAGGAGAAGATCGCTCAGATGATTACACAGTCCTACATCGATGAATCCCCGGTCAGAAGCTGGACAAGCGCGATAATGTCAAGTGTTCATCCTGTGAGGGAAGAATGAGAGATACCTCAGGTGGAGAAGACTGAGAATACACGAAGAGACTACGAACACGATAGTGTAGCACTCCAAATGTGGGAGTGTGGACAGACAACCACCGATGCATATGTATTACATACTATTAACCAATCCAGCGGGGAGGGGAACGTACACAGAAAAATCAGTGGATGGTTGTTTTCTGACTGGTCGGCAGACCGTCAACCGGTCGGCCCTACTGGTCGGCTGCAATACGGTCGGCGGTCGGGGTCGGCGGTCGGCAGGGATGCAACCCTGGCCTGCTTTAAAAAAAAAAAAAAAAAAAAAAAAAAAAAACGTACGTACGAGAGACTTTGGTTTCTGTTCTTTACGCACAAAAGACAAAATTGGTGTACACAAAGTTCAGCAGACTGTCATGGCATACGTGTGGCCGAAACGGGCCATTGTAATCTTCTTTGTGTTGTTCCAATTCTGACGGATGTCCCCAAGGACATGGCATGGCTGTGGCTATTTTGCCACATCAGGCAGTTTGGACGAGCAGCCAAAGCCACACCTTGGCCACCTGCCATTTTCTGGATCGGGAGATCGAGAGATCGAGAGATCGGTATATATATTGTCACATTGTGAATTAGAGCGCATATATATATATATATATCGTCAAATAGAACTGCCCGGTAAACCGTAGGCAGAGAGGGAGAAGAGGACAACAAACGAGGGGCTGTGACAAACTGTTTCGTCGGAGTT